GGGGGTGGAAATGGCTGCGAGGCGGGGGCGGCGGCGGCGGCGACAGCGTCGGCTTTCTCCCTTCTTACGTAAAGTTGAAGCGGCTGAGGAGGCAGGTCGGGACTGTTACGTGATGTTTTTTGCGGGCCGCCGGGATGCTCTGAGCTAAGGAAAGCTCGGCGCCCTTGTCTGTGGTGATGGCGGAGAGGGAAATGTAGAGAAATCAAACTGATCATCAAACTTTTTTTATCTGGAATTGCTCATCAGCATCTCGTTTGGACAACCCGTATTCATTCTAGAGTTCTCTATTGTACAGGATTAGAAAGAAAATACAGTTTAACCTTAAAGACTCGTACCTCGAATTGCTCGAATGCTCATTTTTTGTTCTTATCTTATCCTTTCCACGAACTGTCCTTATTAGAGAGAACCTTTCAATTTTTTGTCGATATCTGGACATGCAGATCAACATTTGGAGTGAAACATATCTCGCAACTTTCAGATTATTGGTGCTTCTTTTGCATTGCTTCTTTTATTTTGCCATGCCTTTTTATGCCTCCGAATAAACGCGACTACCTCTGCATGCACTATCATCAGGATCTTCAAAATTTCCATGTAATTTACCGAGGCCTCTGATTTCTTGCTTTTACGCTTAGCCTCTAACTAATCATTCCGCCGACATAACCCTTTACTGTCGTCGTCTTTATGCAGAAGCGGCATAAACAAAAGAAATTTAAGTGCGTGAAATCATAAGGAAGGATAACTCCACAAACGTAGTCATACACAATATCATACCATGAAGTCTTAAAAACAAAAAACTTTGATTCAACTGTTCCTATTCCATGTGTGTTGCTTCATTTTTGGAATCCAAACATATTTGTAGTGGGTTCGAGGTGAAGAAATACAGTTAACTGTATAAAACTATAACGAGAGACAGAAAATAAGTGAAAACTCCATCTGATATTCTTGACACCTTTTTTCATCACCGACACAATTTTTACATTAACATATATATACGAGACGTGAGGAGGTCCACAATATAAAATATCTGACATTTTTGGCGAAATCAGTATCAGTCTTTTTATGAAGGAAGTGCACTAGACCTATCTCGTATTCCAAGTGGTTTCAAAACGGATAAACAAAGAGCAATGATAAATTCACTCGTACGTTATCATTTGTGCAGCTCATTTCATGTGAGTGATTGAATCACATTACATTTTCCTATGAAACGTGATATGTCAGATACCATTATTTACTCCAGAACGCCGCATACAATAGAGTGTAATATGAATTTGAAACTGAATTCATGCAAAATCCCTAATTGTTTTGTGACACGTCTTGGCCGTTACAAGATGTTGAATGTTCAGTCTAACCAGAAAGTCGGAAGGTATTTGGGTTTTTATTGCTCGCATAGCAGTGAATGTGCCACTGTAGAGTGGATGCGATGTGCATTTCCGGATCTCTTCATTGCAACGTGGTGGTGCAACGTAGCAGTAGACTGGATTGGTTGTTGCCCGTCAGAGCAAAGCCATTCAAGTCCTCATCTGCGAGTCGTCGATCATTGGTCAAAAAATATGCGAGAATAAGATTGTCGTGTAATTAAAACATAACACTGGACTGCTCTAAAAGAATGTTATCTACAAAGTTGCGCTTTAGTTTGATGACAGCACTCATGCTCTCTACTCTGTTTCATCATAAGGCATGTGCTTAAATTCTTTTTTAACTTCAGGGGCGGATCCAGAGACAAATTTTGGGAAGGGAAATTCATTATATTTTGGTCAAATGTATCATAATACAAACTTTGTAAAATGTCGCAGGTAACACTCAGCTCATGCTGCGATACGATATTAATGATCATTCGAAAATATTTTGCTGGAAAGTTTCGTGACAAGTTGAAATTAATACTTACTGAAACATTTAGGGGGGGGGGATATTCCCCATCCCCCGTGGATCCGCGCCTGTACTTTGACAAAAAAGGCTTTTTTAACACAGCAATTTCGTTGGTATTTTAACCAATGCGTTTAATATCCGACTGTTTTTAAGAATTTTTCTTTACAGTAGTGAAAAAGACAATCAGTAGTAGCTTGTATATGTAGCTTGTACATGAAATCATGAATAATTATATCAGCCTTAACCTTTTATTCTTTCATTTAATTGTCTCGAAAACTGAAGAAATAATGCTAAAAGAACCCATAATAGACCCTCGGAGACTTAAATTTTATTTTGAACGTGATTGTGTTTTTCGTACATCATGGAAGAACATTAGCTGATCATAGAAGACTGTCCAAGAAAAGGAATCAAATCGAAAATAAAATTTGATTAAATTTAATTTGAGCAAAAGATAAAAAAACAATTAAATTAAAATTAAAACAAAATATTCGATCAGTCAGTGATGGGCTTTGCTCACCATCAGCGACAGCAGCCACCGCACGGCGCGCCAGCAGAAATGTCAAGGCCGGCTGGCTTCGTCGCAGCCCATGGCAAATGGCAGCATGGTTGTTAGCATAACGCTCCTGCCGCTTCCCTCCTGGGTCCTCGAGGTGGATGCCTCCGCGCTCTTCTGCCTGCTGAGGAGACGACTCAGGGATCTGTCGAAATCAATAGTTGAATTTGAAACGGGTATTTTTATTTTGGATTGTACTTTGAATGAAGCCTAAACATTTTCAAAATTTTCTCAAAAATGGAACCATATCTTTCATTATTTTTATCGAATAATTACGCTTATAAAAACTGTTATAAAAAGTACACTTATTAAAACGGAGCAGACCAAATTCGTTGAAATTTCGATATTTAAAAAAATTGCAAAAGTTTAAAAAACTGGCGTCTTCTTACAACTACAAAATTGAGGATACAGATTTTTTTAAGGAAAGGGGTTCTTCAAAATGTGATACTTAAATGACGTCATGCATAATTCTTTTTTCAAAATGTGAGTAGCTTTTGCGCAACTTCGCGTGAAATAATGATAATTTTTAAACAGGATTTTGTTTTCAAAATGTCTCTAATTTTTTTCTTAACTTGTTTCTCAAATAGAGCAATGTATGGTTATTTAAATAATGCAGATCCGATTTTCATTGAACTGAATTTGCAAACGCCACAAACAATCCAATAGTTGATTCAAAACGGTTTAGAGAAGCTTTCAGATTTAATTGCACTCTAGCTTTTCTACATAGCGTTTTAAGGAATAATTTTCACCTCAAAATAAAGAAATATTCCAAAAAATATATTTGATATTTTTTATTATTATTTGCTTTTATTATAATATTGTTTTCTTAGTCTCGTTTGAAAATGAATGAAAACCCTTTCGGGTCGCATTAATACATGAAAAACCTTTTCTACGTTTTGTTGCTTCCTTTTGAACTGCACTGCTTGTTTCCTATTATTAGTTTCATTTTTACTTAAGAATCACACTATGGATATGATTTGATTCATTTCTATAATTGACCTTTGCAAAAAACAGGTTCCAAATCTAGAACAGTAAGAGATTAAATTTTCGCAAAAACTGAAAGAAGCCATTTGTTATGCTTCCATTACTTAAAAAAATATTTGTCTTGTAACATGTCATTGACGCCGTGTCATTCTTGAGGCTACAAAATAATGCAAATTTTCCGAGGCAAGTAGCTCGTCAACCAATGTAATCAACCTCGCAGTGGAACGAGCAGCGTATAATAGTACGCCTTTCGTTCAGCAGAAGATTTGGGACCCGTTCGACCGGTCGCGAATTTCCCAGCGATTCCGTGAGCATAGTCTTCCGTCACGGTAACGCGCCGGTGAGGTAAGACGCTGACGGGGCAGACCTCGGCGTGCCTCGTACGGGAGAAAGTGCCCATGGCTGTCGTCTTCTCAACAAACACAGCTTCTTCCAAGACCTGCCTGCTAAAAAGACGATCGGTCCAGCGGGCAAACACCTTCTTCACTTTGCGCTCTGTCGACCGTTGGCGTAAAAACGAAAAAAACAAAAATCTTTTCACAGTCTGCTGGCGATGACTTTCACTGATAGCGCTCGTGCCACACCTTTCATTACCGTTAAAAAGATTGACTTCTCTCATACTTATATTTTTGTTTGTGATATTGAACTATAAAAATGCATGGATATTATAAAATAGAAAATGAAGATTCCTTGCAACGTTATTTACCAACTTTTTTGCCAGTAAATTTAAAATGCAGATGGCCTTGCTAAAAAATGAATATTTTCTAGGCTGAAGATTACTTTAAAACGTATTTCTGATCAATGACAAAAATTGCTTTCGCAAATCAAGTTTTGGCAATTAACCAAAAGTACTTTCACTAGAGATGTTTTCTCGGATATGGAAGATTTTTTTTCAAAATTGCACTATTAAACTTTTCGTATTTGATTATGTTAGGACACGTGTAACAAAACACATTAATACGATTAGCAAAATATGAATGAAAATATTTTTAGGAATGTATCATGAAGATTAGACCCAATGGGAATCCATACTCTCGGAAAGGTCAGAATCATTGAAATATGGCAACCTCCATAAAGTAAACGAACATTGTTGAATACGCAACTTCGAAGATGGCTTCCATTCTACCTCTTTGGCCATTGCCCACTATTTATTTGCCAACTATAATAGCGCCTCCGGGAGTGAGCATTCTTCCTCGCAGCTTAGAATGTCCGGTAATCAATGTATAAGAACGCATCAATATGTACTCATGTTATCTACTGCTTAATAAAACATATTATCTAGTGTTTTGATACGTGATGCATTCAGTACTCACTCATTAAAATATTTTAGTAACAAATGCAAATGAAATAAAAAGATCTGAGGCATACAATTTATAGTCATAGAATGTATGTAGTGTGAAAAGTTCAGATTTCTCATTTATGTGAGAAATCTGAAAAAAATGACTAATTTGATTAGTTTTCATATTTAATTCGTATCGAATTCATTAGTCAATTGAAAAGATTTCCTTATAGTCGCCGTAACAGTAATGAATTTTTTTCTTTCTTCACAGAATTACAAGGAAAAAGAAGCTGGAAAAGTGGTGTTATATGTTACCACCATGGGCATCGTGAGGCATACCTTTCAAGAGTGCCTCAAGGTGAAGAAGATACTGCGGACATTACTGGTGAAGTATGACGAGCGTGATGCCTTCATGAGTCGTGAAGTGCAGAATGAACTTATGGAGCGGATGCACTCGGATCAGATAATGGTGCCCCAACTTTTCGTTGATGGACAACATATTGGGGTATGTCTCATTTCATCAGAATATTTATCTGATATCTTTTTATCCTTTATATTTTGAAGAATACCTTATACTAATCTTGGCACTTTAATATTACAATCTGGTTTTGTTTACTTTTACAAACTTAATGTTTCATTTTTTAAGATAAATTTTACTTTTCTATGTCGTAAAGCATTTCATGAATTCAAAAGGTTTTACATTTGTACACTATAAGAAGAAAAGGAAATTCTTCTGGTGTAAAATGTAAAAGTTAACAAACAGACTCAATCACATACTATAATCATTCACATGAAATAGGTGTTTAAAAGTGATACAGTCTTCCTATCAATAATAAAAGATAAGCAAACCCCTATAAAACTTTTTTAAAATAACTTGTATTTTTTAAAATCTTTTGTTGTTTTTTTTAACATCAAACTATATCTTATTTTATACTGCATTCTAAGTCGAAGTTGTTTCCAACACTTGCATTTTTAGTTCAAATTTTCTCTCGAGGCTCAAGTTGCTCTTGATCTACAGAGCCTTAGAATTGTTTAGTAGTTCTTATGTAATCAGAAACAAAGTTGCTTGTAATTTTCTTGTACTAAATTATATTTTGTGAATGAATTGTTTCAGGATGCTGAGACTATTGAGCGATTGAATGAAACTGGTGAACTACGTAAAATGCTAAAACCATTTAAGGTATGTTCACTAATCAATGTCCCTGTCAACAGGAAGAAAATCAAACCAGGAATCTTCTGCAGTATTAACTCTAATATAAAAGCAGATACTTGATAATTTTTACATACATTTTTAATTCCTACTGGAATATTACATTCCCAGTAGAAATGTATGATTATTATTTTAATAGCCTAACATTGCTTTTATGCACTGTTGTATTCATTAATACTAGTAAGTTTTGTGGCACAGTGATATGGAGTAATAATAGAAAATAGTATTTTCAAAATACATAAAAATAATGCCAATGTAGTGTGATAAATCATTGTCTTTGGATAACACGTGGTCAGAATGTTAAAAATAATCTCCACTGTTAAAATTAGTTTCTTCCATTTATGAAATTATTTTGAATTATCAAGTAAAATTGTTACTTCTATCACAGGAACTTGTTTTTCCTGTTTGTCAATATTTTATGAAAATATTCCACTTTTAAAGATCAAATATTTTTTTTAATATTAAATGTCATTCTATTTGTATTATATTTTGAACAACCCATATTCTACTCTCAATTCATAAAGAAAGCAACCTCATTCATTTCATAAAGAGTATTTTTAGTCTCATTGTGGTTAGGACAGAATGAAAATTCATCCTTTTACTGGTTGGGTGAGTGGAAAGATGTTAGCGCATTTTAAGTTCTTGTGAATCAGCAGTCCCCATTTATATGTGGTCCAATTTCCACTGATTCTGAAAGCAAATGATACCCTCTTTGTATCTGGACATTAAATGTGAACTTTTCTGACACATACACCCTCTAACTTAACATTTTTTTAAAATTAATAAATTATCATTTTAGCATTTCTCCTGTTCACTGTGCGCAAAGAGAAAATTTTATTTGTAAATATTTTTAGTAGTATTAGTATCACAATTTTTTAGGTACATTTCCATTAATTAGTTGAATAATAATGTTATAAAATCTAAAATGAAGGTGAAGTTACTTTCTTTGAAAATAAAGAATAATTTTTCCTAGAATAAGCTTTGCAAAAGTAGAAATTCTGTTTTTGTATTTTTATTTTATATTTTGATTGTTGGGCTATTGAAAAGAGTTGTTGAATTGTTCCATCAGTTTTAATTTTTACACAAAGAAGAATCTTGGCTTCCAGTCTATGTATCTTTCTGGATTTGCCACTGTATATTTTACATGAAAATTAATGCACACAAGATGATAATGAAGAAAACACCAGCAGGAGGCAATAAGAACTAACCCAAAGAGTTCTATGAGAAATCTATGAAAAACTTCAAGAAACACTAACACTACACTACAATAACATTTACCTAATACAAAACTACTAATTGAACTATTATAGGTGATACCAACACACAAAATAATTCACCATGTTGGGATTTGAAATTGGGTAAGCTTAAATTTAGCTAGTAATTAGCATAACTACCACTATTCCAAATCCTAAGTTGACACTGTCACCCTCCCAATGGAGGGAAGGAGGCTGAATGTTGCAACAAAAAATATGTTATCATTGACGTACCTAGGTAGATTAGAAACAGAACTAACCAAATACAACAAAATAAATAGATGCGTTAAAAGATATTTCCAAAATATATAATTAAGACAAAGATTAGACAACACAATATCCCAACTTGCATTACCCATCTTATTATACGGTAGTAGAATGTAGATACTTAAACAAAGAGTCAAAAAAGAATAGAAGATGCAGATTTGTTAGGTCAATTTTGAAAATACGAGGAGAGACAAGATAAGAAATGAAGAAATTAAAAAACAACAAAAAATATATTTTTAGAAATTTATAAATAACAAAAGAAATGGAAAGGACATACAGAAAGAATGAAGATAGAAAAGTTCTCAATTACAAGACAAAAAAAGAAGAGACTACGATAGACCAAGAAAATTCTGGGAAGCACAGGAATACTTTGGAAGTGAAGTTGTAGGCTTTTGCATCCAGAGTCTGCACAGGGCTAAAAAGACCATGACAAGATGGTTGAAATGTCAGCAGCACAGCCTTTGACACAGCGTCATCCTGAGAGCCAAGAACATTTGCGTACCTTGGAAGTGCTGACGGGAATGCTGGAAAAAAAAGGAACAAGCCAACAGGCCTAAACCTTATTTGTTCATGATAATGATGCATATTTTGCATTAAATATCTCATTACATAAGGAAACATAAAACTGAACTTTTAGTTGAACTTCAAATTTAAAGAAAATGTTCATAATTTGTATTCACAAAATCAATTTTATTTTAATACCCATTAAGATAATTGGATTATTTTCTAATTTACCCAGAGTAAACAAAAGTCTTTATTTTATTTCATTTTTAATTAAAAGGAAAGAAAGAACAAAAAAGATAAGTGATGTGAAAATAAAGGTAATTGATTTAAACAAATAATATGTAAACTAACGTTACATAAAAAGTAAGTTATATTTTGTTTATTTACAATTGTGATCTTGTTTGTGATAATTAAGTACTGAAAGGATTTTTGTTGATTATTTGAGTGATTTCCAAAGACACTTGAGATTAAAGTGGACTTGCATATCCTTGTCTCTAATCAACATTATCGGCTGCATTCGTGTTGGTCCATTAGTCTTGGTTTCCCTTCTTGAGTGCTCTGCTCCAAGCAATAAGCATTCCTCTGATACCATCATTTTTATTAGACAAACAACAGTTATGTTTTCTAATCATTAATGGTAATTTGTGACTATAGTCGTTTTTTCTGCTTTCAGAGCCCTGATGTTTGCAACACTTGTCAAGTATGTGGAGGTTTCCGCTTACTGCCATGTTCCATCTGCAATGGCAGCAAGAAGTCAATGCATCGTAATGATTTCACTGCTGAGTTTGTAGCCCTGAAATGCATGAGCTGCGATGAAGTGGGCCTCGTGAAATGTCACGCATGCTAAGGACATAATGTTTGAATGATGCTGACAAAGTGTCTCGACATAAAAATGAGCTGAAGCTTCCTACATGGTGCCAATTGGGTTAGCATTATACAGTTTTAGGTATATGTGTGTGATAACATATATTTATAGATGTTTCAAAAAGTTGTGTATTGGTCTTTTAAGTCATAAGATCAATCAGTACTCTCGTATTAGTACTGTTCCATAGGGAATCAAATGGATTCACTCCATAATGGACTTGCATTTAAAGCAACCAATTAAGAACTGAGGAACCTCAACCAGATAGACTGTGTAACATTTTTTACTCTATTAAAATGGACACTGAAACAGAGTGAAAGAAAACATGAAGTTGTCCTTGTGCAATTTTGCTTACACAGCAATGTTTCGTTTATGTGAATTGTGTTGTTAGATCATGTTTTAGCTGTGTGAAAATAAATAAGTGCAGTTGCTAATACAAAAGATTCTGCTAATTTAATTTTCAACGTAAAACCAATGCTTCCATCATAGAGGTTTTTAAAGAACCATTGCTTGCACTTCTTTTAATTTTTTACTTTTATATTTTGTAGAAAGAATGTTAGGGTCAAGTTGTTTGCATGTCATTACAAACAACAGTTTTGACTGACTGTCTTTAAAAGGTAAGGATAAAATTTGTGATATTAACAGAACTGAGATTTTATTTTGGAGATTTGATGATGAAACCTACATCATTTTGCAATATGATGAGGGGTTATCCGTCCCTCACATTCATACAGGATATGGGAGTAGTATATATGTTTCAGTAGAGCTAATTACAAGAATGTCTGTTGTGAATTTCCTGACAAAAAGGAAATTTTAAAGAAAGTCTCAATGTGAATGTATTTCAGTAATTGTGAATGAACTGCAAAGAATTCAAATCTTTTATTATTAAATATTTAATCATTTGACTCACTATTTTATAGATGAGTCAATGCTTTTAAAACTTAATATAAAAGCTGAATTAAAAAAATTGAATTTTAATATGATTTTAGGGGATGAGCTTGTTACTTTTCAAATCTCAGAGGATAAATGAGAATGATGGAATTATTAAAATGAAAGTTGCTGTTTAAAAATATGTGCCTAAATTCCTTTCTGAAGGACTTCCTTGATAATAACTTTAAAGTAGTTACAAATGATCTACGAGATATTTTGTTACTAATATTTGGATCAATAAGTTAGTAACATTACTATTATGTTATACTCTTAATGATTGTATAGTCGCCTTTAGCTAAAAACAAATTTTAAAAAACAGTGAAACTATAACTGTTAAGTACTTTTTTTAAGACCTAGACAACTACATTAATTTGAGACCAGTAACATCTGCTCATTTTAAATGCAAGATATTACAATGGAGCTTTTAATATATTGTTCTGAAAGAGGCATACTTTTCATAGATATTTACCTTTTTATACATCTTAGGTTAATTGTTCTTTTAATATAATTGTTTGTATTTATGTAAATAAGAGAGTGCTCATAGCTTAAGCTCAAATATAAAACATACTGCTGTAACTGCATAAGTGCTTATTTCAATAAATATTTATGTTACAAATAATGCTGTTATTGTTTGAGAATTAATATTGATTGCACTTTTTTGTTTTTTCTTTATTACTATAGTAAATTAGCTGCATTTCCCATCAAATCTTGTTCATTTATTTAATGTCAAAACAGATAAACACCAAGTGTGACATACTAGAGATATGCAATCTGAGCATGTTTCCATGAGCTCTGAGATCCCTACCCTATCTCGGATACTATATTAACTTGAATTATGGATACAGGAAGCTACAATTTTTTTTTTTGGCAACAGATTTAGAAAATGTTCTCTCTCAGGTAAAAAATAAAAACTATTTGCAAAGGGAAATCAGCTTCAGATATTGGTTATTATCCCTTATTGTGCCCTTTGTGAAAGAATTGGCTTACTGTCTTCAGAACTTTGAGAATAATTATTTAAATAATTAGATTCCCCAGTGAGCTCAAGACAAAGTGAACAGATCCTGAAGCTATATTTATCATTATCTTAATTTCATGAATCTTAATTAACTAATACAATAAATTTTGAATTGTAAACAAAACGACTCTTAAGTATGAGTGGTCATGCAGTAGTGAAGACCAGCTAGGGCTGGTCAATATTTGGAACCTCTAGGCAGGTGAGCCCAGAGCAGGTTGACCTTGCTATCCTCTCCCCATTGATACCACTGCTGATGAGAATTAATTAAGCTTAAAACAGAGGTTGTTTTTCCTTTCAGAATTTCAAAGTGATGGTTGTTATTGGCATTTTGTCTTTCATACATAACTCTGTTCTGTTTATGATGGGTTGCTAAAAATATAATTATACAGTGCATTAAATTAGAACTCTAGATCTAATAATTTTTATTTCAACTAATACATCAAATTGTCTTATTAAATTATTTATGGCAATTATTAAATGAAAGAATTTCTTCATTTTAAATTAGTAATTGTATATTGACATATCTTAGTAGTCCCAAACTATTTTGAATTATATTATTTCTAGAATGTTTTAGGATCAGCTTAGTTTGGCCTTTACTTATCCAACTTTTTTGTCCAATATTTTGAGGTCTGCAAGTATCCAGATATTTTATGTCATTTTAAAAACAATTTAAATCTAAAAATCAAAATCAAATTTGTTGCTTTGATGAGGTATTCTAACATTCAAATTTAGTTTTAAACTTACAAAATGGTAGTAGTAAACATTTCTTCACTTCATATCAGCTGAACTAATTCATTAGTTTTACTTTCCCAATGCAGTTCCCAGTGTTTAGAAAAACATAAAAGTAAGAAAATTAATTTTCTGTGCTTATAGTATTGTGAAAGCACCATATTATAAGCATTAAAAATGAAGTGGGACTGAGTTGCTAAATTAGTAGCAAAATTTGACCTGGGCCAAAGAAAATAATTTTTGAAGGCTGTACATTTAAGATAAAAGTGGATTAAAATTCAAAAGTATGACTATTGGTAGGCATATATTTAACATTCAAAAGCAATTTAACAATTTGTAAATGTTCAAAAATGTTTATAGAGCAACACAAAGAGAAAGACTTCTGGTTACTGATAAATATCTTGTTTACATTTAACATTGCAGTTTGTTTTGTTTGTAAAGTATGTAATGAAGATTCTAGTGAGCATTTCCACCTTTTATATTTACGAACACAACACCAAGATTCCTCCTGTTACAGGAGATTTAAAATCCAAAACTGACAGTCATTAATCGTTTTGTTATAGATATGGGGATGAGGGACAAACTCTCCTCTGAAATTTTCGACTTAAATACATTATTAATTTGATAAGTATTTCAAATTATGTTCTAAAGAAAATAACAGTTTCAATTTGACATTGTGCAGTTAAATATTACATTTTAATACAATTTTAGTTTCATGTACACTTTTGTCAATTTGAGCATAAGTACACCGACATCAGTGACACATTGCAGTAGAATTTTTAAGTGATTGCAGTTATGACTAGGACAAATTTATATCCACTAAAAATTATGAAAATATCCATGCAAATATGTGAAAAAAATTAGAAATATATGCAGAGGCTGAAGTGTGCCTTTCATTTTACACCAATAAGTTACTACCTTGACATATTAAAAAATAAACAACGCATTTAATTTCTATTACTGCAAATTGCCCTAAATTTTTTCAAATTTTCTATTGTGCTGTGAATTCTTTTTCTATAATTTTCAAAATTGTTTTTATGCACAGAAAACGTTCTTTCTTCTTAGGGTACATTTCTAGAAATTTGCAATTTCTTTTGCTGTGTAATACGATTGGAATGCGATTGATTCACCTTGTAAAACTGCACTATTTTTTTTCTTTCTTCTTATTTCCCTGCTATGAATCTCGCTCCTGATTCTGATAAGCTATTGAAAGAGGTTACCAAAGAATTCAATTTGACTGAAGTGGTCAGCTTGAGATTATTGTTTTTGGAGTTTGAAAAATATCTAGGAGTAATGAAATGTGCCAATATGACAGTTCACTTTGGATTCCTTCTTCATATGTGGCCATTATTACTGAATAAGTACCAGTCACATATGGATTCAACAAAGGTAAGGCCTTCTTAATACCTTTAACATGTGAACAGTAATAAAGTGCAGTATTGAACCATGTTCCAATAAACATTAAGGCAGAGAATGGCAAAAGAAAAATTTATGGTAGTTCCACCTAAAATATTATATACACAAGTTTTTCTATTGCTCATATTCTTTTTTTACCACCACACCCCTCCTTGATGTACACTTCAACTATCCCACAGCTATCATAACATTTTGTCTTTTAGTGAAACATATATAATGGAAATTGGAATATTGGCAACTACTGAAAACTTCTAAATCAAGAATAAGACAAATTGACATGGTTTTATGTTTGCGTATTGTTGTGAAATCAATGTTGATATGGTGCTGTCCACTGTTTCTCATTTACAAAGAATATTAGTCTTCAGCAAAAGATAGTTTCTTTGCACTTAGGAATTGAGAAGGTCATATTTTTGCATAAAGAAGAAAAAGTATAGGCCCCCCAAGATGGATCCTTGTAGGACTCCACCCTTTACAAGGATCTTGCCTTAAGATCTATTGGTGTTCAGGGTGCCCAGATTGGGGAGGGCAGTTGGAACAACGTGACCCCCATTTAAGTGGGGCATTGAAAATTGACACAAAATTTTTTTCCTTGTATGAAACAATTTTTTAAGAAAAAAAATGTAATTCCATTTGAAATATAGTTAATATTAAAATATATTTATAATAATAATCTATATAAAGAAAATTGGAGTGCTTCTCCATGATTTCAAAATAGCTGCCTCTTTATAATGATACAAAAAAACAGTAATAACTTTCAGTGAGAACTATCAAAATTGGCTCGGCTGTTCCAGAGATTACTCCAGACAAATAGAGACAAAAAATTTAAAAATTATTCAATAATTGAACAATTTTTGCATTTTTATTTGACTGTCTATTTGTCTTAAGTAATGTCTGGAAAAGCTGAACCAATTTTGATGCAGTTTTCACTGAAAGATAGAATGGTTTGTTGTTAACGTAATCAATTTTTTATTCAAATTATTATTTCCTCTTATATTAAAAAATAAACAAATTTATTCTGATCTTAATAAACTTTTGTACCAACCTTCAAAAGAAGAGAAATGTTTTTTCTGCATGAAATTTCATAAAAATTATCTCTATTCCCTTTCTTTTACCTTACAGGAAAATTTAATAGTGCATATTTACAATCCTCAAAACTGAATTAATATAATTTCCCATTGAATGCATATTGATTCATTCCAATAGTACAATTAGGCTCATACTAATTGAAAGTCAAAATTGTTACTGTAAGTTTCCCAGGAGTATGCAACAATGCATTTGTTTTTATCTGTCCCTAGTAGGGTGGCAGCAGTGATTACACTGGTCAACACACATTTTCATGCCAAACAAGTTAAAGCCATTTTAGGCTATGTTTGATACACTAATTCCAAGTATGGCATTGGTTTTGGTAGATTGGCTCTAGTTTTTGGGGTAATGAAAATCGCCTCAAAAAATATTTTATTTTATTGAATACGTGCTTTTCAGACATTACATAAAACTTGAACTAAATGAAACTAGTAATGTTTTTCATTCAAAATCAAATACTTGAGTTACATAATATTAATATATTCAATGTATATTTACAGCCTGAAACAGATCACAATTAATTGTTTGAAAACATTGTTTGTATGATTTCCCTTTTTGCGGCAAATCAGAATAATCACGTTGAAGGCTCCAGCAATAGTTTGCCATCATGTGTCTATTGAATCTACCCTATCTATCTTCAATCACCTTATTTCTTGATGGAACTGCAGACCTTGTTCCTCACTCATATTGCCAATATTTTCTGGATGGCTATGAAGAGAGTGTATCTTAATGCTCATAAATGTGCCCAAATTTTGAAAGTTTAAAAGCAAGACTTGCACCAGTTGTGCAAAATTTGCTGTTTTATGATTACTCTAAAAGTTCTTGACAAGCATGACGAATCTGTGCTAGGCAGAAGATTCAGTGTCAGTCATAGAAATTGCAAATTTGGATCATTTATCAATTTACAAAATTGAGGCCCATCAAATATGCCAACTTTCAATTTTTCCATACTCAGTCCAGAGAAGAATCTGCTAATGTATTTGAAGAAATCACCATCATTGTTTAGCACTCTCATAAATTGCTTCATTAATCCCAACTTTATGTGCTGAGGAGGGAAAAAGATATTTTCTTTGGCAACCAACCCTTTGGTTCATGATATTTGCAGCACCTTTTGTAATATTTTCACTTAGCGGCAATGTCACTTTTGGTAGTGCTGCTCATTTGCTCAACCTTCCCACAAGAAAACATGGGTACTTTGTTCATCCACTCAAGTTAAAAGTTAACTATTTTGAAATCTACGCATATAGACCATTGGTGGCAATGATATCAAAAGTTTTGTAAGACCATTTTTATATTTGTCTTTAATTTTTGTTGAGGGAACAATTAGTATTGATGGATAGCAGTTGTCATTGAGCAGTAAAATACACT